TAGAGGGTCCGTTGCCCGGGTTTGACCACGTGGAGGTGGGGGTGGGCTATCATCACAACTGACGGTCGGATTTTGATTCCGACCTACTTTTTGGCTGGGGCAGTCTTTTGATTGATGCCCCTCCTTCCTGCACCTGAAACAGGCCTTCGACCTGTCTGGCCCTTTGCAAGCATGGGCGATGTGCCCACGTTCCAGACACCTGTAGCACTGAGGACCTTTATCAAGAATCCTCAGCCTACAGGATGTCCAACCTAACCGTACTCGGTTAATCGATGTCAGGCGATGGGCAACTCTGAGGGGCACCTCACACCTTGCATACCGCCCTTTGACGCCGGTGTTCGTGTGGACCGTGATTGGTTCCACGTGCGGGGGCCGTTCTCCGTCAGGAGACTTCAGGGCGGTGCAAAGTGCTCGGTGCACGTCTCGCTCCTCCTGCCTCTCCTCCACGTCCAGGAGAAGGACAGTGCAGGTCATCGAAGGTCGGTGAACCCGCACGTCCATCTCCTGTAGGGCCATCTTCAATTTGGCTGCCAAAAGGTCCGCTTGTTCCGCGGTTCCCCGGACCTCCAGTAGGACGGCCCCCGCCTGGGTTCTCCGGGTCCCGGACACTTCAATGCCCAGGGCCCGAAGGTCAACAGCAGCCATGGCTATGCCCATTACCGTGGCATACTTTTGACCTTCCCTTAGGGGGCCGATCACAACTGCTTCCGTGCGAGGCAGTCTGGTCCGCAGTTTCACCGTTTTCGGAACTCTCGTTACAGGCGGCGGTTTGGGCTTGGTCGCCGCATCCTCCTTCTTCTTGGTTCCTGCCTTTCTTCCTACAACTTTGGTCCACAGTGGTTCAGCGAGATCAACTCTCGCATCCCCTATTGCAGACCCTTCACCGTTTGCCTGGCTCCCTACCCCATGTTCAGACTGCGTCAAAGTAGGCGCAATGTCCGATACGAGGACAGGGCCTAAGGCGGCAGGTCGTTTCGTCCTCCTCTTTCTTTTCTTCGTCATCTCCTTAGTGGTCCCCATCGGCTTGACGGCCGGTGGGTCCTCGACGGTTTGCGTCCCGGCTTCTTTGGACGATTTCACCGTCGTCACTTTAGGCACCAGCGGTGCGGCTCCCATCTCAGGTGCAGCTTCCTGGTGGATCCTGGACGGAGGAGACGCTCTTCTACGTTTCTCCTCATCCAGGATCTCCTCCAGGCGCTTCGTCGCCATCTGCACCTCCTTGTGCACCCCCATACCCCGGCGTTTGTCTATGACCCCTCGAAGCACAGCCACTTGCGCGACAATGCCTTCTATCATAGACGACGTGGCGGTCGCCACGTCCGCCGGGTCATGCCATCTCTTGCGACATGGCCGCACCGCGCGCCTCAGCTCGCTGAGGGCCTGGCAAGAGAGGGAGATCTGCTGGACGAGGTACTCCAGGTGGGTACCCGGGACCTCGTTCATCAGACTCCCCTCGACCTCCGCTGTTCGGGCGAGAGCAACGACGTGGTTGAGGCCGACGTCAAACGTGGCCTCGTCGTCGCTCTCTTCCTCTTCCCCCAAAGGCGCCCTCCTCTTGCCAGGATGACGTACTGGAGGAGAACTCTCCGGCAGCGGACTAAGCGCGGGCGATTCCGCTCGCTGGCGAGTCGATGAGCCTTCCCCAGGGGAAGGCTCATTGCTTCCACGACGGTCGCCCGTCCGCATCATCTCGTCCTCTTCCTCCGCACTCGCAATGCCAGGAGATGACGAGACCTTCGTCTTTTCGTTGTACGCCATGCATTCAACGGCCTGTCGAAGCCCGCGACCCATGGTGCTCATTATCCCGCTGTCGTTGTAGCGGGATAAGAGCTCCGAGGCGACTAGTCTAGCGACCGCCAAGAGCCGTTCCGACGGGGCGTCCCCTCGGCGGCTGGCGATACACACGTCGATGAGTTCCGCCCTCTGATGGGGCTCATCAACGCCTTCCAACGGGTCGTACTCCTCGACCCTTTCCGGGGCAAAGGAACGCCCGTCGTCCAGGTCCTTCTGCATGAGCTTCAGGACCGTGGACACTGAGCTCCAAAACAATTCGGCCGTCCTGAACTGGCCACAATACGAGTCCAGTGTCAGTCCTCCATCCTTCATGTTGAGCAACAGTCGGCTCCACCGAGTGAACTCCGAATGGGTCAGCGGCACGTCATCGCGGAAGCGATCGCGCAACCCTTCCCATTCGTCCACCATCTCCTTGACGGTAGCAAAGCCACCAGCAGTTACCTCAGTGACCCTAAGGTCACTGGAGGATGCCTGCTTGGCACATCCTCCGACAGTAGTTTGGGCGCGAACGCCCCCTGGACCCTGCCTCACCAGTCCCACGGTTCTGGTACAGTCGCTGGATGACGACCGGGTTAGGCCTGTAGCGACACCTTTCCCAGCCGGCCCTGGAGACTCCGATTCTCCTGGCGCGGTAACCGTTATATTTGAATGGTTTCCTTCCATGATTGGTTTTACGGGTGTCCTTCCCTGCGTTTTACCTGCCGCCAGGGGATTTGTTTTCCGTGTTACCTTCACCTAGGTGGTCGCCTTACCAGGCTATCGGGCCCACCTGCCCGTTTTCCTCGAACGCTACCGCTTATTCGTCCACTCTAGGAGTGGCTTATATCACGGATACCCTGCATATCTGCAGGGTTAACGAGCGAACGAGGGGCTCGCTGTCCGCGACCGCTTATTCGTCAGTCCAAATTAATGGACTGCTTATTTCGCGGCTAGCCTGCATATCTGCAGGCCGTTCCTCTATCCGCAACCTGAGGACGCGCCCGATTCCCCGAGCTAGGGAAACTGCGCTCGTGCCGACGTTTCGTAGTCCCGTGGAGCCCGATCACGCCGACACTGTAGCGCAGCGAAACGGGTGCCGGATGCGCCTTTCGGTAGCAAACCCATGCTGTTTGCCGGCGACTTCAGACAGACGTTGCCCATCGTGAAGCGCGGTTCGCGGGCCCAAATCGTTTAGGCCACCGTACAGCACGGTGTTTATTGGGTCTTGATGGAAAAATACTCGTTTGAGCGCAACATGCGCGCCGACGGCGACCGACCTTTCGCCGATTGGCTGTTGCAGCTCGGTACGGGCTCGCTCAACAATTAACTGGAATACGTGACTATTCCGGTCGGTGCGGTAAGCGAATCTTTTGCATCTCTTTTAGACTTTGTTTATCCGCGGACGATGTCGTTGAACAACGTCCGCGATTACGCTAAACATATTGTTTTGTGTGTTACAAACGACGAGTGCAAGAACATCAACGATCAGGTGCTTCACAGTCGAGTGACGGGATCGCAGAGGGTGTACACCGCCACCGATACCGTCGTAGCCGACGACGACGACGAGGCGGCTAATTTTCCCATAGAGTTTCTCAACACTATGGAAGCAGACAACTTCCCGCCGTACAGGTTGACTTTGAAGGAGGGTGCGATCGTCATGTTGCTGAAGAACCTGGACATGGCCAGACGGCTGTGCAACGGCACCAGACTGGTAATTACTGAGCTCAGGCAACATAATTTTAAAGCTATACTGTTGACAGATCTCGACGATGAGGAGATAGTCGTTCCGATCGTTCAGACGAGGACGTCCGGGGACGGCGACATTCCGTGTCGCATGTGTCGTTACCAGTTCCCCGTGAGGCTCCGCTACGCCATGACAGTCAACAAGTCGCAGGGCCAGACTTTCGATCGTGTCGGCCTGTCGTTGACGGTACAGCCGTTCGCCCACGGACAGCTGTACGTGGCGTTTTCAAGGGTGCGCAACCAAAATTCCATCAGGGTGTACACTTTATCGTCCGTAGACGGACCGTGCGTTGTGAAAAACGTCATGTACAGGGAAGTATTAGAATGATTTTGATGTAAATTAAACATTAATGGCGACATTATACGCGGTCCCGCGGGTAATCAAGTGTTTTAAACGGATCAAGTGGTATAATCCTTGCAAAATGCTTGATTTTTACGGGCATGATTTGAGCGTTTATGCGAATATTCTGCCTGTGTCCCTGTCTGATTGATTGCCGGTCTTCGGATCGCGATTAATCGCGTTGGACAGCGAAGAATCGGGTTTGTTGAACGGATTACCTGGTGTAGTCCGGGCAAGAAGCTCGATTGCTGCTGGCACGGGTTGTTTCGGTGTGCCAGATGCGACGGTCGTGACTTGAGCGTTTAAGCGAATATTCTTCCTGTGTCCCTCGAAACGGCTATTCTCTCGTGCTGTGTATTTGCCATTTAAACTCCAAATGCCATCTATATGGGCGGGGAAATTTCCGTTTTGTGCCGAGAGATTGTATGAAAACCTTCACATGGTTCTTGTTTATACTTTAACTTTAAGTTTAATTAATTTGACAAATAACTAATTTTGACAAAATTTGACAAATAAAATGTGGTTAATTACCTGTCGGATGAAGGCGATTATTTCGTCAAAAGATCAACAATTTTTTGTTCATCAATAAAAATTTAATACTTTTAGCTTGATTAAAAAAAAATAATAATATTATTACAATAATTAATTTGCCTTTACAATTAAGAAAACAATTAAAGTAAATTTATTTTGTACAATCAAAAAAGAACCACTAGGCTACAGTAGTCGAATATCAACGAACGAAAGAAAGTAAAGTAAAGTAAAGTAATGACAAACAATTTATCATACGCATAATAATTATAAAAGCAATAGTTGCCGATAAAACGATAAACAGAAAAACACAAACACTTAAAATTAACTATTTACAATAACAGATGACAAGCACACGAGAAGGGAAGGGAAAATTTTACAATGAGAGGCGCGAGAGAATATTACGATAACAAAAATTATTTACATATACATTTTGTACACTAATGCATGAACAGTTCTCTCTGAATGCAAATTCGTTAAATTTTCATGGCATAAAATATCACAATAATAGTAATATAAATTTTTTAAATATTTGCATTACAACTCGATATGAGAGTAATTTTTTATCACACGGATTTGTAACTAATGTCATACGTCATAATTACAATTTATTTGTATATTATAATATATTTATTTGTTTGAATAACATTCCATTTCTTTTCCAGAACTTAAATGAATTAACACAAATAACTCGGAGGACATTGGTAACACAACGAACGTTTCGACAAAATAATATCAACTTATGCGGGACCAACATGAAATTCATGGAAATTATCATACACGGCAATTCTACGCTTCATTAGAAATTAATATCGACCATTTGTGATACATATTTTTATATTGTTTAATATACGCATACATTATTTATTATATAACTTTTCACTTTAAAAGTTCAAATGAAATATAACATTTATATGGCGAACAATTGAAAAAATCATTTTTTCTTTTGCTGTTTTATAGTAACAGTTTAATATGAATAACTTTCATCTCATGTATTAGGTTTGAAATGTCGTTAGCGAATTTTGCACTATACGAATTCAACATTTTTTTTTAATACATTTAAATTTACATTAATTCAATGTATAAATTGGAATAATATTATTCCATAATAATACACAATATTACTATTATTACTGTTATCGTTTCATTGCTATTCAGATTATTTTTAATTTAATTAAATACTTTTTATTTTTTATTACATAAGAAAATAAAATAATATTATTATGAACTAATTTTTTTTGTGATATTATTATTGTTACACTATTTTACAAGTAAACATCATAATAATTGTTTTTACATATTTTTTATACTCATATTGCTTTACCCTTTTATGTAAATATTGTATTGAAGTAATGAGTGTAACATCAAATAAATGGTTTTCATTAAACGCTTTATTTTTACAATATTATCATTGTAACATATATTATTACATAAATAAAATCAGTTTTTTAGCGATGACGCTTACTTATTATCTGCATGGAAAACTGCATACTGCCCATTGTACAACTTATGATTCCCCGAGTCGATTACATTGTTTTTTTGCCATGTCTAAATTTGCATTAAAGTATTTCTCCAATTTAATGAAATCACTGAAAAGAAAATAATTTTATTTAATAATTCTAAGCATAAAAATTGTTTGCATCTATAGAATCAATAGAAAATAAACAATATAATTAATACACATACTTATGTTACTTTTTAGCTTCGATGCGAAGCTGAGAAGGTATTAATTTTACCATGATGTGTTTATTTTTTTTTTAATTTTTTTTAATTTTTAATTTTTTTTTTTTTTTGTGTCTGTCACTACTTTTTCTCAGCTCTCACTGGACCGATTTCTTTTAACAATACGTCAAAAGATCACAAATTGTATCTAGTTGAAGACATTACCCTTAAAAATTTAAAAATTTTCCCTCGTTCCCCGCAAAAGGGGGGAAATATCCAAAAAAATTACAAATTTAAAAATCGACAAATTTTGTCATTTTTTTCACTTTTTTTTCTTAAAACTTCCATAACTTTTTCAAAAATCAACAAATCAACATAATTTTTTTTTAAACTAAAACCTTAGATATTTTCCTTTCATTTGATATAATTTTTTTGAAAATTTAACACTTAACCTGCTCATGGGGGGGGATTTAAAATTGCAACTTTTTTACAAAAACTAACTTATTCAACTTAATTTTTGAAAATGTTCCGGAAATACTGCGTCCTTTAAACATATATCAAATTAAAGCTTATTTTATGTACTATAAAATGAAAAAAAAAAATTTGTCCCGACACTTTATCTTCTGCATGTAAACAGTTGCCGTAGTTAAAAAAACACTATTTTTGTGTTAAAATTTTCGATTTTCAATTTTTAATTTTCAACTTAAAAATGCTATAACTTTTCGAAAAATGCATGTATAAGCACAATTTTTTTTTTTCTAAATACATTATAAGTACATCTTCCATTTGACATACTTTTTATTAAAATTAGACAATTTCCCCTTATATAGGGGGGGTTCAAACTTTGAAACATTGTATAAAAAATAGAACTTTTTCAACTGAACTTTTGAAAATGTTCCGGAAATACTGCGTCCTTTAAACATATATCAAATTAAAGCTTTTTTTATGTACTATAAAATGAAAAAAAAAAATTTGTCCCGACACCTTATCTTCTATGTGCAAATGGCTGTC